TTAATCTCTGCTGACACCGCTATAAAAATTCGAAACTCACAAGAAAAATCGATGCAGGGAGCTGCCCCGAGAAGTTGGGATACTTCGTGCACAGCCGACGCACGCGATCCGACATCCAAGACGGGTATTGAACCGAGCCGTCCTGGAAAAAAGGGCTTGGGGTCTCAGAAGATTTCTATGGGCGATCATGACATGAAGGCTTTAGAAAAGGCCTTGATTTGGCATAGGTTTCCCTGCTTTAGGCTTTGCCCAAGAAGAATCCTAAGCCCCTAGTAAACCCGAAAGTCCTAAAGTCAGGTCCCAAAGTCAAGGAGTTTAGAGCATCTCGCCACCCTCCCCTACTTCGAAAAACGACCTTTTTACACAGGCTTGATTGGAGCTCGCCCGGCCAATGTCCCTCGTAGCTTTTTCGACCTAAACCCTGAACCCCTAAACCCTAAACTGGCACTGAATTAGAAGGCCAAGTTCACAGCACCGAAGTCCCGAAACTCAGGCCAAGCCATGTACCCCACTGCACCCCCATTGCAATACCTTTAGCTCAAGCCTTGTACCCGGAACCCTAACCCTAAACACCAAAACCCCTAAACCCCTGAAGCCCTAAACCCCCAAACCCCTAAACCCTAAAACCCTGAACCCCTGAAGCCCTAAACCCCTGAAGCCCTAAACCCTGAACCCCAAAACCCCTAAACCCTGAACCCCAATTCTCACAACTTCGAACCCCAACTGCTCGAAACCCGCAGGCCCAAGCACTGAACAATTGAAAACGTGGGGTTTAGGGGTTAAGGGTTAGGGATTAGGGTTTAGGNNTAGGGTTTTAGGGTTTAGGATCAAGTGAACTGATCAAGTGAACTCCTTCTAAGACCCTTATCTTATTGGTACTCTTCAGTGCTTTCTCTTCATGGATCCGGGAGCTCTTCAGGGTTCCTGCCTGTATTCGTAGCATAAGTTTAGCCCGATCCCACACCCTATATATTAGGCCGTCGGCTCTTTAGCCCTAAAGCCAATAAGCCCCATGTCAGAATCAGACAGCAAAGAACTCGCACTTCCGAAAGCCCCCCAACGACCGGATCCGTACGATAACCATCCCTAAAATAGCCTGATTCTGGGCAACCCCTATACAGGGTCTAGGGTTCAGGGTAAACTCAAACAACATCTCCAGGCCTCGTCGAAGATTGGCGTCGAGCCAGAGGCGGAAGAGGAGGAGGCAGAGGCAGTGGAGGGCCTGCCAATTGGGGACTTCGTTTATCGTGGAAGGTGGGAGGGGGGGGGGGGGGGGGGGTATCGGAGTTTCTTCGGCATTCTGGGACTCAGGAGCAAGAAACACAAAGCTTGAGCACGCCTGGCGCACGAAGTCGACATCCTTAAGGCTCAATACATGCAGTCTTTGCTAGGTGTGCTTATGCATGTGTCAATTAAGCCCAAAGCTAACACACTAAACTCTCAAATTCCTTGCAGCCGCAGAAACCCCACAAGCTTCGGTGCTAAAGGAGAGCATATGTAACTAGCCCCAAACCCACATGTCTTGGTGCTCACATGAGGCACTGCCCGCGCCTCTGGGGTTGCGCGGGCCTCGAGGGCGGCCTGAACTCAAAGGAGAGGTCGCGCACTCTGGGAAGATGCGTGAGCGACAGCAGTGGTACTTTGAGCTTGCTTCTAAGGGTCTTCTGCGGCGTAAGGACAAAAGTCTTTCTATGCGGTTACACGATATAAGCATTATTAAGTCCATCAAAAAGGGTTGTCACTCATAGGAGCTAGAAAACATAGGAAACACTGATGCAGTGTATTCCTTACAGCTTACGTACTAATACCACATACGAGTACATCTAGTGAGCACTTTGCTGTACACGGATTGCGGTTGTGGCAGCGCGCTGCCACTTTTTAGCTTTTATGGGGGGCCCATCTTTCTTCTTGCCTACCCAAAGCATCCTCAGTACCTATATGATATGGGGGGGATATTTATCCACACCATGATACTCATTCCTTTCTCTAGAAATCGTACTTTCTGCTTTCATAACCCTGTGAGCTATAGTTTCAAGACAACCGCTCAGGTCTACACTCTCACACTTGGACTCGCCAAACGAGGGTTCGTGGCTCAAGCAAGAAGAAGATAAGCTGCGCTCAAGCATGAAGTATTCACGACTTCGGGCTTTAGGCTTCCCAGAGACTCCAATATCCCTTAATTACGGAATGTGCCTTAAACCATGTTAGGGATCCTATTATAATTTAAAGTATATTCCTTAAATAAAGGGATATTGGAGTCTCTGGGTTGAACCAGAACCTGGAACCCTTAAGGCTTAACGAGTTCAGGGTCTGGGTATGCGTTTGGGATTCAGGGTTCAGCCAACCCTGTGCCGCTTCAGGGGTTCCGTAAGGGTTTAGGGTTTAGGGTTTAGGGTCGAGAGGTTCAGGGTTTGGCGTCCAATATAGCGGCCTTTGTCATTAGAACAAGCGCTTGGGGGTACAATGTGATTAGTGTCAACCTAACCAGTGCTGTAAGTTCATACTGTTGCTAACTATGCCGGCCCCAATTTGATCGCGTTCAGGTGATTGGGTTTATAGAACTGGCATCGGGGTCAAGGGCTTGCTTGTCACTGTCGCCTTTGGACTGAAAGCTCTCTGACAAAGGCTTTGCTTGGAATCCAAGTACAAGAACCCTCCCTAATGCCCAAGCGCTCCGAAAACCCTGAGTCGGACCAGTATGCAAGGTTTGGCGGAGTCTGGGAGTACAGCTGTTCTGTCTGACACCAGAAGCTACAGACATATACTGACAAGACTGTACCCAGGTCGCACCACCATAAGATGTTGAGGCTCCGGGGTGAATGCTAGAGCGGTACACGGTGAAACCATGAATGGAGGCAAGGCCCTAAACCAAGGGCCAAGCATATAATAGACTCAGAATAGGCCATCAAAGCCAGAACCACAGAAAAGAGGCGTTGGAACACCGTAAAAACCAGGAGCCCTACTACTTGTCCCGGAGCCTTCATGTTGAAGACCCTCTTTCAGCCTTCTACACCCTGAACTCCCTAAACCCTAAACCCCAAACCCTGAACTCAAACCCCAAACCCTGAACCCACACCCCAAACCTATAAACCCTTAAACCCCTAAACCCTAAGCCCTAAACCCCAAACCAAAAAAAACAGTTAAACCCCTAAACCCCAAGCCCCTAAACCCTTAAACCCCTAAACCCTGAACCTAAACCCTAAACCCTAAACCCCCAAACCCCCATAAACTTCAAACCCTTAAACCCGTAAACCCCGAACTTCCGGACCCTCCCTGCGTGCACTTGCAGGCCTCGTCTCGGGCTTTGGCTTCGGCTTCGGTTTGGGCTTTGGCATGACCTGTGGTTTAGGGTTTAGGGTTTAGGGGTGTAGGGGTTTAGGGTTTAGCGGTTTAGTGGTTT